AAAATGAATAAAGCAAGAAAAAGTACAACAGTTTCGGAGGTGGAAGTATAAGATGGGCAAGCTCCCAAGAATGAACGACGTGACTATGAGTGTGATTACTAGTCTGGTGGGTCTTGGCGGCACAAGAACTTTAAGACTAATACACGGCGTCCTGCAAAACATATATAAAGTTCTTGCTATTATACAGGGGAAACCGGCCGACGACTTAGCTCGCGAATAATGGAGCATAAATGGGCAATGCGGAAAGGCGACTCGCCGTCCCAGATCGCCACCCACACACCGGAAAAACGCCACGAATTCGACTTCATGGGCACGCGGATAATGGCACGCGCCACTAATAAGACGGGACGAGAACTACTGGAGGCCTGGGTGTCAAACTCCAACTCCACCAACAGGCATGTGAATGTACCGCCCAGTTCGTGTCCAGACACGCACGCTGCCACGTCAAGGACGCACGCCATAACGCCAACGGCACCCACAGAGACGATACGGTGAGACGGCGTGAGCATGGACCAATCACGAATGCTATCCCCTCCCCCACCCCCATTTGCTCGAAACTAGATTAAAAAAGCCTACCACTGCTTGCTGATCTCTCATTTTCTCTGACGATGGCCTCTTGTGTAAAGCCGAAAGCTTAGACTAATGCCAGTGCTTTCCCAGTGATCGTGCCTTTGTCTTCGTTGCAATAGAATATAAAATGTTTTCGAGTGGAATGACAAGCGAAGGTTCACACGCAAGATGGAGCGTCTTATATTTGAGCAATGAACTCACAAAAATGCAGTAGAATTGCTGACATGCTTGTGCACTGCTTACAATAAAGTTCACCTGGTAGGTTAAGGAGAAAGGGATGACCAACGGAAGTTCTTTAGAATCTTCAGGAAAAAAACAAAACATGAAAGATTTGTGTGATATCGAAAACTCAAATTTAAGAGATCGAGAATCCCAGAGGATGATTAGTGCATTGGGCGACTACTCGAAAAACTTCTGTCATCTTGAAGGTGAGCCACATCGGAACTGCAAATCGAAGTTCAAGGAGCACACTGTGGATTGGAACTTTCCTTAAAATGAAGAATCTAGAATACAGTAAATCAATCTTTACAAAAGATGTAGGGACGGAGACTGGAGTTCCGCCTGTCCAAATTTGGAATTTGCACGCCGCAAATCTCAGAAAGGAAAACTTTGGCCTATCACTCTTTATCACAGGGCGTTGTGCTAAAAAACACCCTGATTTGTATCCAAATCCGACTTCTTCCCAACTGGGAGCTGGGACAGATTTATAATCATGCATGGCGCAAAGTTAGGCTGTAATGGTCATTTCATTTTCCTTTATCGTTGTCGATCTGTAAATAGGTTATCGACTGTCTTGCTCATCTCACCATACAGCAGCCTGCGAAATCTCTGATTTCGATTTTGAAGTCAAGATGGATTATACGCATATGTCGTCCTGATACGTCGGCTGGGTGAACTGGACTCCCATGGGACTTTGACTGTTCCCAACCTGAACAGACATAGCACAGGTTAGAGGCCATGTAGTACGAAGATCGATTCTAAACAAACTAAAGCCTGATTTAAATTCAAGGTCGGCGGGAATTAACTATGTGGCCGCTCCTTTTTATTGCTAGAATATGCCTACTCACTTAATTTATTAAGGTGTGCTATAAAGATAAAGTTTGCTGTTAAGTTTGCGCTTATACTTAGGTTTAAGGATAGGTTTAGATTAAATCTTGTGGTAAGAAAAATGTAAGTTTTAAGGGTTAGGATAACGTTTGCCCGTCGCATACTGCCTTACCCAATCCGGCCTTTTCTAACCAATCACAATGGATTACCTGTTTTACTCCCACTCACGTGCTCCTACTTGGCATCTTTCGAACCACCCGGTCTTTTCAAGCACGTCGCTGGAACCATAGAGCAAACACATGACAATAATACAAGTTTCCCCAATGTCTTTCACAGATTTCGATAATTATCGTGTCCATTTGCCTTCCTGATAAGACTTATTAAGAGTCCTCCCGCATTACGAGAGTATCTGTGTTTTCTTTTCTGAGTGGGACTAAACATTCAACAACCTCCGCATTGCCTTTTCCTTCTGCGGTCGGAATGTAGTTATGTATTTGGTGCTGAACAAATGCCAAAAGTGGTCATGCCAGTATATGTTGCCCAGGGACAAGCTGGTATGTACACTCTTAATCTTAGGAGAGTGTGTTTGCCATTATTTACAAGATAAATATAAGCCTTTACTCTCGTGTTTGTGAATCCACAGCCCTCACTCTCAACAACCCCTCCGAGGCGTCACCTGATATCCCACAAACACCACCAACACCACGGAATTTTGAAGATCTGCGCAGCAAAGCAGATATGGTAGAAAATCGGCAACTAATGGAGGATGCGCTCAACTCCCTACCGGAAACGTTCCTGACCATTTATACCGACGGGTCGGCGATAAATGGATGCAGACAGGGAGGTGCGGGAGTCGTGGTGACGTAAGGAAGCTGGAATAACTACTCAACGATTGCAACGTCCAGGAGAAGGGGCACATACTACAGCTCATCCTTTGATGCCGAGATGCTAGTCCTTACTGACAGTAAATCCGCTGTAGATGCCCTACAGAACTTTGGCACAGGAGAGGACCTTAAGAAACCGTTGGTACAACAAGTGATGAATGTTCTGG